GTCACTAGTCAATCATACCTCAGGAACGCGATGTCTCCCCTCTCCCTGGCCTCCCTTAACTTCGGCATCAACTCCCTTCTTCTCTTCCTCACAGACCTGGTGTAATCTTCATTTATATATATGTTAGATCCTTTAAGCTTCTTTGCTTGTTGCAATATGCATGCCTTATCTTTCTCTTTCATCAACTTTACCATCACCGCCCTCGGACCACGATCAGAAGGTTTCCCGACTCTGTGAGCCCGCTCCATCTCAATTTCTTGATGAATTTGCAGATTATTCTTCAGAATCTCCTTCACTTTACATTCTGCTTCCAACCAGCTTTCTCCAGCTGACTCCTTGATTCCCTCAAAGATCAAGTTTTTTCGCTTGGATTGTGCTTCCAGATGCTCCATTTTGTCCATTATAGTTATTAAACTCTCACAAGTTTCGTAGACGTCATCCCTCGTTTCCTTGGTTTGTGTTTTCTGTTCACCCATGGCTGCTTTAATCACATCCACCTCTCGCTGGGTAAACTGCAAACTCGTTTTTATCTCCTGTATTTCTCTGGTCATGTCGTCGAATCTCTTGTTGTTTGTCTCCATAAGTAGTTGCACGAAGCCTTTGAAGCTTTCCTGCTGTTGGTTCATCAGCGCGATGTACATGTTTTTGATGATCCACGATGTCCATTACTTGCACCACTCTGTGATACATTTCTTCTGCCTCCATATCCGCAGTCACTTCTGATTTATTAGCTCTTTTCCCTCTTTGAGGCATTTACTGTAAATGTGCTGGTGACTGCCACAACAACCCTTTTCCATCATATGACAAGTCAACGTTACCTTCTCACTATACTGAAGGCCAAACTCTCCCGACAGCATGCAGCACTAACAGTCAGTTACAAGTCTGTTGTGGTAACATTAGTTCAGACTCCAGCAGCAGTTGTTCCTGTCTGCTTTTTCACACATTACCCCATTCAAATGCAAATGAGAGTGGCTGACTATGGGTATAAAGTCCCAGGATGGGAACATTTCTCAATTTGATGGAGAAGAGCAGCTCTGCACACTTTTTCACCACCTCTGACATTTAGTCTAGATACATGACACAGCCTAATAAGAGTAAATGTTAAACCACATTGGCTGCAGCATGATTTTGATTACAAAATAAATGATTATTTGAACCTTGTATTTTATCTCAGGTTGAAGGATAAGGATAATCACCTTTATTGGCCAAGTATGTTACACGCAAGGAATTTGTTTTTGGTACAGAACCGAGGCAACCATCTGCGGCTCCAACTCAACTGATGGCTCTAACCATTGGGGGCAACTTGGGGGTTCAGTGTCTTGCCCAAGGACACTTCGACATGTGGACTGCAGGCACCGAGATTCAAACCGTCAACCTTCCGGTTGGGAGACGACTGCTCTACCCACCGCACTGTCACCTTGTCCTTATCTAAGCTGTACCAACTGAAATTCAAATTAAACTTATCTGTGCAGCTTCGCAGTGATCCAGGTCATAGTAAGGTGAAAAAACTTTAAAAAATCAACTGGACTAGGTTTTTAGGTCGACGACGTTTCACCTCTCATCCAAGAGGCTTCATCAGTTCTGACCGGTTGGCGTTGAGCTGGAGATATTTATCCCCATCTGTGTTTCACTCCTTTGATGGCCAACAATGTCCCAACAATTGAGTCGTTATAGCCCAGTAACTGTGAGTGTCGTTACCTGTCTTTGAACCCTCACCTGTGGACTGATGCCTATTGTCCTGGTGGGCATGTTTGGGCAGAGATCTCAAAACAGGATTGTAGATGGATGACAAGTTGTCTTAGTCTACCACCCCTATTTAGTGAGAAGTGCTCTGTTTGGACAAAAATAGCTTCCTTGACTCCTCTCAAACCAGCGATGTTCTCTGGAGAGGATCTGGACTTCACTGTCCTCAAAAGAATGTCCTTTGTCCTTCAGGTGGAGGTGGACTGCTGACTTTGGTCCACTGGGGTTGGCTCTCCTTTGTTGGGCCATGCGTTTGTGCAGCGGCTGCTTAGTTTCACCAATGTACAAGTCGTTACACTCTTGACTACACTTAATTGCATACATCACATCACTCGTTTATGTCTGGGTGTTTTGTCCTTCGGGTGGGCCAGTCTTTGCCGCAGGGTGTTCCCTGGCTTAAAGTTGACTGGGATATTATGGTTGCGAAAGATCATTTTTAACTTCTTTGATAAACCAGCCACATAAGGGATGACGGTGTTATCCCCTCTTGTTTCTGGTTTCTCCCTGTTGGTGTTGGGCCTCTTCCTTGCTTTGGTGAAGGCCCACTTGGGGTATCCACAAGCCTTAAGGGAGTTCTGGACGTGTAGTTTCTCCTTCTTGGCCACTTCTGTAGTTGTGGGCACTTCCTCTGCCCTGTGATTTAGAGTTCTGATGGCTCCCAGTTTGTGTTGAAGTGGATGGTGTGAGTCAAAAAGCAGGTACTGGTCTGTGTGTGTAGGTTTCCGATATACTTCTACCTTCAGGCTTCTGTCCCCTCCCAAGTGGACTGCACAATCCAAACAGTCATCTCTGGCATCCTCACGAGTGAACCTGATGTTGATATCCACAGAGTTGATATGCTTGGTGAAAGCCTCTACCTTCTGGGTCCTGATTTTAACCCACATGTCATCCAACCTTGCTGTGCTATCAGCAAGATTCCAATTACCCGTTTTAGGCTCCACCCTTTTATACCTAACTGACCTAGAAGAACGATAGTTGGCTACATATCCCCTACAACCAACTTCCACAGGGAAGACTTTAACTTTCTTCCATGCGTCTGTGTCTCCATGACTAATTCTGTGTATTTCAGTTTCTTCCTCTCATTAGCTGTATCTACAGCGTCCTCCCAGAGAACTGTAAGCTCGACAAAATATGACATGCTTCTGACCATAACAAAAAATCTAGCCTGAGGTTAGTGCTGGGGACAGGGTGGAGCATCCCCTAATACAACTCCTGGTTTGTTGATGATGGAGAAAGATGATTGGGTAAACTGACTGACTAAATCTTGACTGAAAATCCTCAAACAAATCAGTCTTGTGCAAATGGCCACATAACTGCTTTGCAACAGGTTTTTCAAGGATTTTAGAAATGAACGGGAGATTGGACATCGGTCTATAATCAACTAGAACACCTGAGTCAAGAGTAGGCTTTTTGAGTAGAGGTTTAATTACAGCAACTTTAAAAGCCTGCGGAACATAAACTGTTAATAGAGAAAGGTTAATCAGATCTAGTATGGATGTATTGATTAGGGGAAAGATGTCTTTGAGCAGCCTGGTTGGGATGGGGTCTAAGAGACATGATAATTTAGATGAAGCAATTGTTGAGGTCAACTCAGAGATCAATGGGAGAGAAGCAGTCTAAGTATAACAGATTTTACAGATAATTCTAAAGCCATTGTAGTTGATGGCACATCTGTGACGGTTGTGGGAATAATTTTTTCTCTAATAGTTGTGATTTTATTTGTAAAGAAGCTCATGAAGTCATTACTGCTGAGATGTAAGGGAATGTTAAGCTCAACAGCACTGTGGCTCTTTGTCAGCCTGGCTACAGTGCTGAAAAGAAACCTGGGGTTGTTCTTATTTTCCTCCATCAGTGATGAATAATATGCGGTTCTGGCACTACGAAGGGCTTTTTTATATGTTATTAAACTATTTTTCCAGGCTAAGAAAAACTCTTCTGACTCCTTTCCAGTTTTCGTGATGCCTGCTTTAGGGAGCAGAGCTGCGAGCTGTACCACGGGGCCTCTGTTTCACTGCTTTCTTTTTCAGAGGGGCAACAGTATCAAGTGTCATACGCAGGGAGGCTGCAGTACTATCAAGATGATTATCAACTTGTGTGGGAGTCAAGTTAAGATGGTCACCCTCCATTGTGTTTTCGCAAATGGCACTGAAGTAAATAATGATGGAATTATTTCCTTAAACTTGGTAACAGCATTGTCAGATAGACATCTACTGTAGTGGAATTGTTTCCCACATAGAGTATAATCTATTAATGTAAATTCAAAAGTTATTAGAAAATGGTCAGACAGAAGAGGGTTTTGGGGAAAAACTATTAAGTGTTCAGTTTCGATGCCATATGTCAGAACAAGATCAAGAGTGTGATTAAAACAGTGAGTGGGTTTATTTACAGTTTGAGAAAAGCCAACTAAGTCTAATAATGAACAGAATGCATTGTTGAGGCTGTCATTGTTGGCATCTACATGAATATTAAAGTCGCCCACTATGATTATTTTATCTCTACTAAGCAATAAATCTCACAAAGTCTGACTATTCAGTTAAAAACTCTGAATAAGGAGCAGGTGGATGATAAACAATAACAAATAGAACTGGCTTTTGAGTTTTCCAGTTTGGGTGTGAGAGACTAAGGGTGAGGCTTTCAAATGAGTTACAACTATGTTTAGGTCTAGGGTTGATTAATGGGTTTGAGTCAAAAATCGCTGCCACATCTCCACCTTGGCTTGTTTGGTCTGGGTGGATTATTATTGGTGTAACTGTTTCTATTCTGTTCCTCTTACAAGGTGCTCAACAGCATCCAGGCTCCTTCTGACGGCAAGGACACCCCTAAAATTCGACCACAACCAGGCAGGTCGGCAGGAAGACCCCACATCCTCAGAAGAAAACTACCTATCCAGAGAGGTTATGGTGGCAAAAAGGAAGAACAAACTGATGCTGACAGTTCATCAGAGGATAGTGACTGTTTTGTGACCACATCCAGTCTGCATATTCCTTCCGAACACTACATCACTATCGAGGACTCAGATCACACAGAGAATTCTTCTGGTAAGATTATCAAGTGTACAATGTGTGAATACAGCCAGAAATGTATGTCACTATTTTATTGTTTGTATACCAGCATCAGATTCACATACATGAAAATTTGCTTATTGCTCTGAGCTAATGATGTAAATTTACAATGATGTCCACAGCAATTCCACTGTTGTTGTAATAATAAACATTGTGACTATGTGTTTCATTTTATCAGATGCGGTTGATGTCACAGAAGAATCCCAACCATTCCAGAGCAGCATACTAATAAATGCAGAAAGTAAGATGGGTATAATTGTGTTAATAATCTTGTGAAATAATGAGAAAGGGGTTAGTTTTAAAGATTAGCTAAATTATTTTGTTATATTGTATAAACCCCAATTCCAATAAATTTGGGATGTTGTGTATACAGTAACATAAATAAAAATAGTGACTAACAATGACTTGCAAATCCTTTTGGAGGAAAATATGATGCCATCCAAGCGACGTCTTTTTCAGGAACGTCCCTGCTTATTTCAGCAAGACAATGCCAAGCCTCGTTCTGCATGTGTTAACAACTGCGTGGCTTTGTAGTAAAAGAGTGCGGGTACTAGACCGGCCTGCCTGCAGTACAGACCTGTCTCCCATTGAAAAAGTGTGGCGCATTATGAAGCGCAAAATACGACAATGCAGACCCCTGACTGTTGAGCAACTGAAATCATACATTAAGCAACAATGGGAAAGAATTCCACCTACAAAGCTTCAGCAGTTACTGCACTCAGTTCCCAAACGCTTAAGTGTTGTTATAAGGAAAGGTGATGTAACACATCACCTTTCACAATGTGGTGGTAAATACCAGGGGGTATTTTTACCACAGATTTTTTTGCCCAGTCATGGCGTTCACCTGTTTCCAATAAGCTTGTTTACCTGCGGAATGTTCCAAACAGGTGTTTTTTGAGCATTTCTCAACTTTCCCAATCTTTTGGAATGTGTTGCAGGCATCAAATTCAAAATGAGAGAATATTTGTAAAAAACAATTTTTTTATCAGTTTGAACATTAAATATCTTGTCTTTGTGTTGTATTCAATTAAATATGGGTCAAAAAGGATTTGCAAGTCATTGTGTTCTGTTTTTATTTACGTTTTACACAATGTCCCAACTTCATTGGAATTGGGGTTTGTAGTTGCAGTCTACAGTCTTCTTTATGATACATCTTAACCCATAGCTGAGACCTGATGCCTTTGTAAGCTGCATCAGCTGGTGATTTAGTGATTCATTCCTGTATATAACTGGAGAATTGGATGTAGCATTAAGGTTACACATGAACTTGATCACTTTATGATTAGTATTAGCAAAATCATGACACAGACAGGTATTTACTCCATAGTAAGTCAGTTTAAGTTGAACAGGACCAGGGTCTTTACATACAGTGAGGAACAGAAGTATTGGAACACCCTGCGATTTTACAAGTTCTCCCACTTAGAAATCATGGAGGGGTCTGAAATTCACATTGTAGGTGCATTCCCACTCTGAGAGACAGAATTAAAAAAACATTTTCA